TATATGTTTTCTCTTTATTTTGTAGGCGCGGTAGGCGGCGAAGGAGGTGACGAGGATGACAAGGAGAAGGAAGAGGAAGCCGAGAGAGAGAGGCAAGAGGCTATCAGGGAGGCTGAAGAACGAAGAAAGGAGAAACATCGCAAAATGGAAGAAGAACGAGAGAAGATGCGGCAAGAGATCAGAGATAAGGTAAGCAATGATGATTTTGCTTTTGCGTTTTTATTTAAAAAGTTTTTGCATTTCTTTGGAATTGACTAATAAATTCGATTTTCATATATTTATTTTTATCGTTAAAAATTTATCGTTATTCGCATCGTAATTGTAGAATTTAATACTATTTACATATCAAAATTATTACTGTTCGATCGTTTAAATCATTTCAAAGGAATATAATGTTATAAAAAATATTATCCATTAAATATTGGATCAGGGAAAAAGTCTCTTCGTGTTTAAAAAAATCATTTCAAAGGAATATAATGTTATAAAAAATATTATCCATTAAATATTGGGTCAGGGAAAAAGTCTCTTCGTGTTTAAAAAAATTTTTTTGCAAAAGTTTTTCATTTGTTGCGAAATTTTCGTTACAATTACATCATTCGCTAGAGCAAAGCTTTCAGCTTTAAGAATCTGTTTTCTAAATTGCGATATATGATAATATGATGATTTTATCAGAGTTATGAGCAATCAAAGTCAGAATGCTTCTCTTTATTTAACTCGCGAATAACTTAGGAACAAAAAATCATAGAAACATTAAAAAAAAAATGATTTTGTAGGCAAAGCTTCAAGCTTTCATGATAAGCAGTCAAAAGTTTTCGTAAATTTTTTTAGGCACGTGAGAGACCCCCAAAGTGAAAAGAAAATTTTTCATCTTTTTCAGCTCGTAGTTTTTTAAATGTAAAAATTACTAAACTCATACAAACTCAAAAAATATAATAATTTTTCGAAAGTAGAGATTTCAAGCTTTAAAACTCTTTTTTAAAATTTAAATGTCGTTCATTTTTGACGAAGATATTATATATACAATTTTGAATTATAAAATACGAAAAAACTTTTTCCCCGATTCAATATTAAATTAATTAATTATTAATTAAAGACTGCCATAGTTTTAGGACGTCAGGGCAGATTTACTTGTAAATGTCTTTTTAGTAATATTTATGACAACATACATGTATTTAAAGATTTGAAGATTGCCATATCAGAAACTGTTTATTATTTATAGTTTTTGTTATTAAAACACATTATTTGGAGATATTGTGAATCATATTTTTCAATTAATTAATTAGTGGATTTCGTTCGTGACTATAAATATATCAGAGTTCGAGTTTGAATATCGCCACGTGTTTCTCCAGTATTTTCCACAAGAGTCCTCGATTTCATCTGGGTCATGTCAACGCCGTTGACTCCATCCTGACAGGACAATACATCAGGATTGATAATGGCGCGATCCAACGTGCATTTTACATCTCTTTCGTTCTCTCTCTTCCCTGTTCTTCTTTTTATCCACACATTTATTTCCCGCCCAACCAGTGAATGCATTGGAAGTTTTTTGTGAGATCCCGTCGGCGTATATTGTTCTATCCTGTTTGATCAATGCGTCGACGGATTCTATTTTCTATGTGACTCAACCTGATTGTTTTGTCCTCTAAAAAAAATGTCAAGTGGATCGATCGATCGAATCAATTTTAACGAAAACTCAAGAGTTAATATCGACTCTCTTCTTGCACGTCATTAATTTTTATATTAATATGAGATCAAAATTAATGAATATGCATAACACTGTATTTTTATTTTTGTAACAAAATTGTAAAATATTTCATCATGAAATAGGAAATTGCTGATAGATTTGTATTTCTTTCACCGATATTTGCCCAATTGGTAGCGTTAGATTTTACATAATGTTAATTGGAGTGGAAACACGATTATCTCGTATGTAAACAGAAAATGATATCGTTGAAGGGACCAAACGCGTAATTCGACAATGTGTTGATCTATGTATGTGGCACACCGACCGCACTGTTGCAATGTGCCGTAATTCCACGTGCGGAAATGGTCGTCGAATGTGGTCGTTGAATGTTGTAACTATTATCATGGCGAAGTTCGATTGTGGGAATTCGAATGCATCTTACAAGAGAACTACATGAAGTATTAAATTCTAAACTTTTAAACTTTACATATAGGTTAGATAAAAGAATGAATTTAGAAAATATTAGTTGCGGCGAAAAAACAGTTTGAAAAGATGAAATCATCCCTTATAGATAACGCGGATTTCAACTTTCTTCATTGTATCTTAAAAATTATTAAGATAACAAAAAATGTTTTATTAAAACTTTTACACTAAAATTATGTTTAATATTCTTGATACTTCCACTTCCTTCCTATCTAAAGGTCCTTTCTATCTAAAGATTATACGTTTCGTGGGTTTCTTACAGTATCAGGCTGCTCCTCGCCCTGATGGAATGAATTGCAAGATTCACGAAACGTTGGCATTCCAAGAATGGATCTGGACACGGAAGAAACTCGCAAAACGCATAATCTTTATATAAAATTATAT